TAGTACTTAGCATAGATTTATTTTTGATTTACTTTGTATTTCCTTATATATAAATTTAATAAAGTTACTGGCAGTGCATATTGTTAAAAAAAAAAAAAAAAAATAAATAAATAAGTTTATAAATTTACATTTTTATTATTAAAAAAACTTATTATTAACAATTTTTTTATTAATTAATTTGATTTAAATTTTAAAATAAATAATATTAAAAAAATTAATTAGATTTATTTTACTTTATAAAATTATTATTATTATAATTTAAGATATAAAATAAATATATATCTAGATAACTTTAAAAAAAAATGAATAAATTTTATTATTTATTAATCTTAATTTGAATTGCTAATTGCATTTTTTTAATTTTAATATGAATTTTGAAATTATTTTACAATCCTTTTTTAATAATATTTATTAAATATTTAAATATTTTATATTTTAATAATGATATTAAATTTTAATTTATAATGGATATGATTTAGCAAATCATTTATATAAAATAAATAAATATAGATGTTGTGCAAATAATTTATAATTGGAAACATATTCATTTAATCTTAAATTTATGTTATACAAAATTTATCAAATTTCGATTTTTTAAATTATGTTAAAAAACTAAAATATAATGTTGTACGAAATAATCATTATTTTTTTTTTTTTTTTAGGAGTTTCAGATTAGCAAATTTGGTAATTTATTATTTGGGAGAGAAATAACGGAATTTGATTGGTTAATTCAAATACATTGTCACGTAATTTCTCCACCTCGCTAATTACAATAAAATTAATTTTACAAAAAAATACTTAATAGATTTTCAAGTAATGTAATTTGTAATAATAATTATCTTTTTTTTTTTTTTGTATGTATGTAAGAATTTGGGGGAGATTTAGCGGGATAAAAAATTTTTAATAAAAATAGCTTTGACTTTTAAATTTTTAAAGAAAGGAACAAATATAAACCGATAGACTAAATACTCTACAACAACTAATTTGACCAATATATATATAAAAATAAACCAAAACCAAATAACAGAAGTTGACTACGCAATAGCTAAAAACCTAAAGTCTTGTTCATTCATTTTGTCAGTAATAATGGCTTTCCCAAAATTCCCATTAAATTGAAATTACTTACTAAAAGTAGAGCGGTTTATACATATACTATTCATAGCAAAAGCTTTGATGTTATGATGGAAAAATGTGAATTGTGTGGAAATATATCTAGTAAATAAAGACGAACAAGTTGATTACAAAATAAAAGTATATATTTCAAATATAATAAGATGAAAAATGTAATAAAATATAACAAATTACAAAAAAAAAAAAAGGAATAAAATAAAATAAAATTAATCATTCATCATAAGTCTACAGAACCAAGCATTTGCGAGGTTTCTTAGTGACCGGTGGTTCCAAAGCCGCAACAATTGCTTCATCAAAAACATTCTTCAAACCCTTTTGCGTCAAAGCTGAGCATTCAACATATTTGACCGCTCCAATTTCTTTAGCAAGTCTTTCCCCTGCTTCTACTGTTACTGGTCTCATTTTTTGTCTCGATAATTTTTCAACTACACTAGGATCATCACGCAAATCTATTTGCGTACCTACAATCAAACATGGAACTCCAGGGCAATGATGGTGAACTTCGGGGAACCACTTCTCTTTAACGTTTTCAAAGGAAGCTGGTGAGGTTACAGAAAAACAAACAAGAAAAACATCCGTTTGGGGGTAAGATAAGGGTCGAAGCCGGTCATAATCTTCTTGACCTGTTTATCCGACATTATAAATATAGATATATATATTTTTGTAAAAATTAACAAGCGCAATTAATAATTAATAACGAACTGAAATATTTCCGGACATAAATCCACAACAATTTAAACAGTTCTCATCAATTTAACGCACCAGCTGTGTCAAACAGCCCCAATGTATATGGCTCATCACCGATCATAACTGTTACCGCATAATTATCGAAAACCTTGCCGAGAAAGAAAAAATTATTAATAAATTTTTATTCAGAAATAAAAAGAAATTGAATAATAAGAATTAGTTTAGAATAAAAACTTACTGTAGGGACATATTCAGAAGGAAATTTGTTGGTTGTATATGAGATTAGAAGACACGTCTATCATCAAAATTATTTCCCATTAATATATTGTAAGCGAATTATATAAAATAAATGTGAATTTTGAAGGGAAAAGGGTGACGTTTCTTCCTTTTCTGACCAAATTGCTCCTTATTGTAAGTCAACCATAATAAACTATATCAATTAAAAGGCACTACTTGACCGAGCATCGAGTAAAAGAAAGCCAATCTAGTTTTATGGTCAAATATTCCTATCCTTGGTTGTCAGTTGGTAATTTATGAACCAGTTGATCGACAATGAGGAAATGAAATATTTTCAGCCACCTAGAATGGCAATGCTTTCTCTAAAGAGAGCATGTTAAAAAAATAAAGGGACTTTACCTTGCCAACAGCACCATCACCAACGACTACACACTTTATTGTTTGCATAATTATAGAAATTATAAGAGTAAAGAACTTAAGAGAGACAAAAAGGAGCCTGCAATGGGAAAGAAGATAAAAAAGGAAGAAAGGTGAAGAAAGGGAAAAAGGTGTTGAAAACTATGGATGGGAGGACTTTTATGAAATAAAAAAAAAAAAAAAAAAAAGTTTAATGAGGGGTCTGAGCTATCTAATAAAAGTGGTAGAGTGGTCCTTTCCAATGCTTATAATTTTATTACATATTACATCTGCGACAAAAAAACCGATTTAGCTTTACTGTGGCCAGCTGGTTTCACGAAATTTTCAACTTGGCCGATTTACATTAAACTCGTTTTATTCTAATTCTTAAAAAAGTCTTCTACGACGGATCTACCGGGGCATTTTTACCCTTGTTAATTCGTACCTTCACGTGATTCGAATGTTTATTTTTTTGAAGTTCTTAATCTAAGGAATTTTTTTTTATTCAAAGGTAAACTTAATTAATTTTACAATGTTTCATCTCTTTTCTTTTTTTTTTTTTTTTTTGTTTTTGAGAAAAGTTTAGAAGCGTAAATTTAATATATATATATATATATTGGAAAATGTAATGAGTCTAAGGAAGTCAAAAAAGGTATGGAAAATTTTTAATACAAAGTAACGAGATAAAAAAAAATATTTACAAAATAGAATTTAGAGAGAAAATGGCAAGATTTTTTTTTTTTTTCGCATATTTCCCAATAGGTACATGTGTAGATCAATAGTTTTAATTATAATGTTTCAAAATTGAAATAACTCGAAAAAAAATATAAAAATAAATTTGATGAATAAACGGAAATAAATCAACAACAAAATCCGAAAACGATGAATGAAATATGAATAAATCTGAAAATAAATTTTGAGTTAATTGAAAATGCCTTATAATACTGTCAAAAACGGAATCTCTTAAACTCTTCCCTACTTGCTTTTTGTTATGTTTGCCACAGAAAAATTGCGATAAAAAATAAATACTAAATTAATATCAATAAATATTCAAGGGCACTTCGGTACTATGCTTAAATATCGTTTGCTTGATATTACAATATTCGACGTAACGAAAGTAAATACCAAATATAATCGCATTCTCGTCCTTTTATTCCAATGAAAAATCGTCACGATAATAATAATAATAAAAAAGGTTCCATAATAATCCGTTATCAAATAACACTATATAAATAATAATAAATAATTATTATTATTTAATATATAAACGAATATAAATTATCAATAATAAAATATTAAATTTCTAGAAATACCTATAATAAATAAAATAATATAAGGGTATCACCCGTCTGGAAACCATTTTGCTGTTACTTCGTTCATAATGTATTTACAACTTTCTGGATCCCAGCGTTCAAAAAAACAACCCACTAATTCGGTTGTTACAGGTCCAAGTGCTTTAGCTAATTCCCAATCTGCTTCATCTCCTATATGGTCCCCATACACGTTTGACGGCACCATCCTTGATAACCGTTCTGAATCATATGGTTCCATAACTAAAGTCTTTTGACCACAATATAAAAACGAGCCTCGATGTGTAAGTACTTCATAAAAAGGTTCATTTCGTTGTGACTCAACATCCTATATAGAAAAAATTAGAGCTTAAAATAATTAGTTATATAAAGGAAATTTATGATATATTTTACAAAACGAAAAATTTGAAATTATATACCGTCCATACGAATTTAGCCACATTTGCTGCAATATCAGCATTATAAGCTGGATAAAAATAACCAAAGTATATATATTTCTCATTTTTCATAAAAAAAAAAAAAAAAAAAAAAAAAAAAAAATTTCGAATAAAATATTCATCATAAACTTACTTCTATCCCAGCGACATATTACACCTAAACTATGAAATTTTTTGAAACAAACTACGTCACCTACAAAAAATTTAGGATCCTTTTTTCCCAACTGACCACGAATTGATTGACCTGAAGCGTAATCCCAGTCAACACGATCATCCTCTTCCAAGCTTTCAACTTCAAACTTCACATTTTCAATTAATCTTTGCCACATCCCTTCCTCGGCCACCGTTCCTGTACCTATATACTTTTCAATTTCTGATATTGCTACCTTTCCTAATTCGTAATCCTCCGGATATCTATATCTCGCCGCGACAAAAGACCACCAAAATTTCATAAGTCGATACATATCTCCAAGCGAACATTCTAAAATTTCTGGTGATCTAATAAAATGTAATTGTAAGGCTGTGCCATAAATGACATCTCGATTATAGCCTCTAATCGCGGTTAGGCTTTGCCAATAGTCCTGCAAAAATAATCTGAATAACCTTTCCTGTGGAATGTATTTATATTCCGGCGTATATGCACCATAATATTTTGAACTATGTTTACCAAACTGTTCAACTGTGAGTACACCCGTTTCTGAATGTTTCTGAAAATCAATATGATATATATCGTGGTCCATATCTTCTTCGTCTTCCTCTATATGATCATGATCCATCAATAAAGGGTTTGACGGGTAAAAATCCTTATACCGAACAAAATGATACCTTCGAAACGTAAATTTTTCTCGATCGGAAACAACATCCACATTCCTTATTCCAACCTTTCCAGCTAATGCTTCAAATAAAACGGTCATGACACAAGCTTTGCTTTGTTTTGTCTCCAAAAGTGGGGTAACCAAATACAAGAATTTGGTTTCTATATCAAGGACGGAAGCGGTAGATGGATATTTTTCTCCAAAAAATTCGGCCAAACGTTTAAATTTTTCTAATTGAGATTGAGGCAGATCTTTTTGACAAATTTCATTAAATTCAGCGGCCAATTCGTCAATTTCATGAATAATATCCACAACGTCAATACGTTCGTTATAAAATGAAGCCATTAATGCAAAACCTTCTAAATTAGTGATATTCAAATCAAGGTTACGCCATGCTTTCCATTTCTCGATGACACTGCTTCGACGAATAAATTGAAGAGCTCTCTTTGCAAAATAACAATGAGTGAGAGTTGTCTAAAGGAATTTGCAAATTACGCGTAAGTAATTTTTTATATGTATTTTTTTTTTTTTTTTTTGCGCATCCAAAAATGTCGAAAAAATTTTGATACCTCATTTGGGTTATCCATAACCCATAATAACATATCACGACAATTATCTCCTAATTGTCTCAATTTTTTCATGTTTGACAAGTAGAATGGTCCACCGGCACTTAATTCATCTAAAATTTCGAATGCCCACCGATCGGTTGCCATTCGTGCGAGGAAAACTTGTCTCCACCCATCCGCTTTCTTGGGTTTTGACTTCCAATATTTCCACCTAAACGAGTTACAATTATAAAAAAGTTTGACACATGATAAATGGAAAGAAAAAAAAACCATTTTGTTTTGGGTTTTGGTAAAATCCGACGATTTACTTGAGTAAAAAAAAACAACCTTTGATCACAAAATTTTTTCCATAAAGATTCAACGTAGCAGGCGTTTCTCCACAACCTTGAAACTTGTGCGCAACGTGCAACGTCTTCTGCCTCTAAATGGGGCAGAATATGTTTAAGGCAAAGGGTTGGGACTTGAGTTCGTGCCATGCTCGTTTATTGACATTAAATATCTAAAAGAAAATGTATAAAGAACATCTTATAAAGCATTTGATATGTTGCACAATAATTGGGGCAAAGCACATCAGATATTATGCAATCAGTATGTAGTATCGTTTTACTACATTTACAGTTGCATTATAGTTGCATTCCAACTTTTACTATTAACTACCATAAACTTACTTTAATCAAAGGAACTCTTTTTTTTTATTTTTTTAAGTTCTTGTGAAATTTTCCTGATATGATCGGATAGATATAAAACCCGAAATTATTATGTAAAATGCGCGGGGGGGGGGGGGGTAATGATAATTTTTTGTTTTCAAATAAAAGATGATAAAACCTGTTGCATTTCATATCTTGTAATCTTTTTTAATCCACAATTAGAATAACAAAAAAAATGAAAATGAAGACTTGTTGTTATACATGAAATTCTGACAAATACTATATTAAAACTTTCGCGTTACCTCAATTGATTAAAATACTTGTATTTTCATAAAAATCATTTTGGAAGGAAACGTCACATCCTTCTTCTCACGTTATCGTGATGTACAATGCATACATAATATGCATTTTATAATCATATGCTTCCCGATCGGACCCATCTCACTTATAACTAAAACATGCTTTCTTCTTTGACCTCACGTTTATCATTATCGACACGATGTCTTCCAATTGTCAATGGAAGATTATTTGTACGTCAGTTTGCTTCTGCTTCTGCAGAAACCGTAAACTTTACATTGTCAGATAATTCTTTTAGAGCTTACAAATGTGATCCACCTTCACTCGATATCGATGTTACAAAAGACGAAATAGTCCAATTGTATAAGCAAATGGTTGTAATGCGTAGAATGGAAACCGCTGCTGACGCACTGTACAAGTCAAAAATGATTAGAGGTTTTTGTCATTTATGTACCGGTCAAGTAAGTTGGGAAATATGAGTGGAATTGTAAATTGATTCCAATTGATCAATGATTATTTTTCTTTAAAGGAAGCAGTTTCCGTAGGTATGGAATCTGCAATTACGAAAGATGATGCTATTATCACCGCGTACAGGTGTCACGGATTCACTTTTGTTCGTGGTGGAACCGTTCACTCTATTTTAGCAGAGCTTATGGGTAATTATATTTACGATTACGTTTTATCGTTACCAGATTTGAAGTATAATTTTATGAGACGAATTTGTTCCATCATAAGGTCGTTCGACTGGTATTTCAAAAGGAAAGGGTGGTTCTATGCATATGTTCTCAAAAAATTTCTATGGAGGTAACGGCATTGTCGGTGCTCAGGTATTGATCTCATTTTCTGTATATAATTGATAACTAGCTCAAAATGAATAATAACGTTTTTTTGGTTTAGGTTCCTGTTGGAACGGGTATAGCATTTACGCAAAAATATTTGGAAAAAAAGAATGCCACATTTATCTTGTATGGAGATGGAGCAGCAAATCAAGGACAAGTATTTGAAGCTTACAACATGGCTAAATTATGGGATTTACCAGCGATATTTGTTTGTGAGAATAATTTCTATGGAATGGGAACATCGGCAAGTAGAAGTTCAGCTAATACACAATATTATACTAGAGGTCAATATATCCCAGGTCTTCAAGTCAATGGGATGGATATTCTAGCTGTGAAGAAAGCATGTTCATGGGCAAAAAATTGGGTAATTAATGAGCAAGGTCCTATTATATTGGAAATGGTCACATATCGTTATGGTGGTCATTCAATGTCTGATCCAGGTACAAGTTATCGTACACGTGAAGAAATTCAACACATGAGAAGTACGAATGATCCTATTACAGGTTTAAGACAAAGAATTTTGGATTATAGTATTTGGACTGAAGCTGAGATGAAGGTAAAAAAAAATAAAACAAAATTTTTGATTTCTGTGTAATATAACTAAAATTAATTTTTTTTGGACAATTTTAGCAATTTGATAAAGAAGCTAGAGCAGAAGTTGAAGAAGCGGTAAATAAAGCACAAAATGATACGCAGCCCGATCCTGATCAATTATTTACAGATGTCTATGCTAAAGGAACTGAACCTCCAACTATTCGTGGTCGCGAACGCGAAGAATTTGCTGTTATGTATCAATAAATTTGTTGAGGTTAATAGATAATGGATTTACATAAAGAAATCCAAAAAAAAAAAAAAAAAAAATTCTATTTAATTCAGCCTAATTAATGACAATTTTTTTTCAAAAAAAAACTTTTGTTGAAAATTGATTAGTTTGGATTGTCAATTCCTTTTTTTTTTTTTTTTTATTCTCTTAATTTCCTATAACATATAAACTGCGACTCTTTGTATTCCAAGAATATCTTTTGTTTTGATTTTTACATAGCATAGCAAAAAAAAATCAAATTAATGTGTAATATTAATTATATTATTTAAAAGATTATTTTATTGATATTAATTGTACAACTTCATACAAAAATTCGTGCAATCATACCGGTTCTCTTTCTAACATATTTAAGTTTTATTATGAATTACTGTCACTTTTACCTTCACCATTTTTATTGGGTGTATTAACAAATTGTATATTATAAGAACCAGTTTTTTCATCTTGTACTGTTTGAAAATTATCTATTGATAAACCAAATTTTCCTAAAAGAGTATTGCCAAAACCCTTAAGTTTACTCATCATTTCATCGTATTCTATTTTTTGTAACTCTTTTATTTTTGGAGGTAATCTTTTAATTGCATTAGATATTAAATTACGATTATCTAAAACTACTCGTTCAGATTTGTGAATTGGATCTGATGAAAGTTTTTCGTAGTCTTACAAGGAATAAAAAAAAGAGCACAGTTAATAAATTTGAAAATGGCAAATAATTGAAAAATTTAAAGACACAACCATAATACCTTCGAGTGCAGAATTTGTTGAAGAGTATGTGGCTATTTTTTCATTTGCTTGTGCTCGACGAAACAATACTTTTGTGTATGTTGGATCTTCTTCAAGTGCTATTTTGTTTCATAAAGACATAAGTATATATTAACAAAGAAACATGCGTATATTACAAGCATACCTTTTGTACACGTCTCTACTGCCTCCTTTTGTTTATTCTATGAAAAAATAATAACGGATTAATTAATAGGAATGATTAAATTATATTATACAAATCTCCATTCAATTAATCTTACCAATTTAACCTGACAAGCTCCTATATTTCCCAAGTAAACGGCTCTTTCTTTCCTTTTTTCAACAGGACAATTATCTAGTGCCTTTTCATATTGTTCAATTGCTTCTTCATATTTTTGTTCATTAAATAAATTATTTCCGATTGATTTATGTTTTTCAGCTGTTTTCAGCAATTCGGCAATTTCTTCAGATGTAAATTTCGGTGTATTATCTACTTCTTTAGTTTCTCCATTTTCTTGGCAAATTGTTATAGATTCTTTTGTGGTTGTGGTTTCTAAAATTGAAATATTAGAGTGGCAGAAAGGTGAATTAAGGTTGATTTTGATAATTAATTACCTTGATAATCTTGAGATTCAAATTTAGACATTCTGAAATAAATTAAAAAAAAAAGTCATCAAAAAATCAAAAACTATTTTTATGCAAGTTTTGTGATACAAATTTATTGTATGGTTGATTTTTTTTTTTTTTTAAAAAAAAAAAACTCATTTTCGAAGTTTGAACTTTCTTCCAAAGAAAGTTAAACATTTCATGTTTATTTTGATATTACAATATGCCTGTTCCATTTGAAGCTCTTATTCCACTTGGTATGATATTATAAAGTAATGAAGTAACTATTTTTTTTGACAAGCAATTTAATATAATACTTTATTCGTTGCGTGTTAGGTCTTATTACGGCCATGTTCACAATAACTGGATCATTGTTGAACTTATCTAGAAGGCATAGCAATGACGGAAAGGTGCGATTTTATTTAAATGAATTCAAAAATTAGTTTCGAATATTCTAATTAATTTTTTTCATCTATAGCCTCCAAGGTTCAGTATGGATAAATGGGATAAACAAATGATGGAGCGTGATAAAAGGTTAACGGGAAGTCCAAGTCGTCAATCAGTTCGTATTCTTTTATTTATTTATTTATTTTTACTTTTAGAATCAAATCAGAATTCCTTTTATTTATTAAAGCTTTTTTATTTTATCAAGGCTGAACCAGTTGCACCACAAGGATTTGCTACAAGTAGTATTTATTATTTGACAAACAAGACACTTTGATTTTACAATTTTTCCCTTAGAAAAGGTTTTTTTTTTTTTTTTTAATAAAATTAATGTTAAAAAAAATTATTTAGTTACTATAAAAAATGAATATCTTTTTTATGTTTTTAACCTTTTGATTATTTATATAATAAAGTTACTAAAGTAACTAATAATTTTTTAATAATCAAAGGTTAATTAAAATTTAATAAAATTTAAATATTTAAAGTTTTTTTTTTTTTGTATTAGTAAATTTATTATATTATTATTAAATTAAAATTAAATATCTTTCATATTAAGTAATAATATTTTTAAAAGTTCTAGTATAAATTTAAATATTAATAATAATATTAGTAATAAGAATATAAATATAATAAGAATTAAGATTTTAATAAGTTATTTATTTTTGTTTATTATATTTATTTAATTATAAAAAATAAAATAAAATATATTATATTAAAATTTTTTATTAATAAAAATTTTAATTATAAATATTATTTTTTAATTTTAAGTTTAATATATTTTTAATAAATATGTTATAATCATCAAAATCCAAATTTTATAAATCTTAAGAGTTCAAGAGTTTTAATAAGAGCTATACCTACTTAATGCATTTTTACCATTCATCATTAAGAGGATTTGTTTTATAAATTAATTTTATTTGTTTAAGAATCATTATTTATCTTCTTTATTATAATTCCTTATAATTTAATTTCTCTTTTTAGTTCTTTATTATTCTTCTTTAATATTTATCTTCTATTTTCAATAATTATTTTTCTTTTTTATAAATTATTTTTTTTTTATTTAAAATTATTAATATTTTATT